AGCCTTGTGCCTCATGCAAGCTCATGCCTCACCTCCTTGTAGAAGGTTGTAGTTCGTATGAAACATCGTGTTTCATACAACCTCCTGCTTCCCAATCTCGTGCCTCACCCAGGCAGCGCCTCATCCCAGACTCATGCCTCACCCATTCAGCGAAGGTGAGGGCGTCTATCGCCTCATGCCCGAGTGACCCTGGCTTGCCTTCACACGTGAGCCTCCTGTTGGGAGGGGATCGGGGGGAGAGGGGAGGGAAAATAGGGCAGCATAATATGGATTTGAGAGTAGCCTTTGCAGACGAATCCTGCCCCTCCCCCCCCCTTTCCCTCTCCGTCCACCCCCCCCATGTTTCCAGCTCCCATGTCACCAGCTCTATCCACTCCCCTCTCACCCAGAGTCGGAGTAGAGGCCCAGCTTGAGCCCCTTGCTGTGCACATAGTCCGCAATTGCCTTGATGCCCGAAGGAAAGAAGCGAGGAGACGGTGCCAGGCGACCCTGAACACGCGAATAGCAAGTGGCAGAGGAACACGAGAAAGTTTGACTAAGAGCATTGGCATGCGCTTGCCGATTGCATGGGGCGTTCGACAGAAAAAACACACTCAGCTAAATAACGCAGCACCTGGCGTGCTGCTGCATGATGTCAGGTGGCTTTGAGTCTGCTCAATAGTTCGCTCAAAAGCTTGCTGAAATGCAAAATGGTAATCTAGTTGCCAACATGACACTGCGAGGTGCGAGCACTCAGGACAATGATGCCGCGGGTGGTGAAGGCTTCTGTGCGTGTTCAATCCAAGTGAAGTAACGAAACTTGTTCTTACAGGGGTCTCATTCTAATCACCCACCTCCGAATCACGGGAGTCAGCCTGCCAGCAATCATCTGCAAATTCAGGAGGAGATCAGGCATAGCCACAAGAGATGACGCCTTATGTATGAAGTAGCGAAACCAAAGGAAGAAAAGGTGGAAACGCTTCAGGAATAAGGGGTATCCATGTTAATACAAAACTGAGGTAAAACGCGGCTGAAGCAGCATGCACAGCCCAAGCCAATTGGCTTCAGATTCACAAATTCAATCAAAGAAGGATGGACGAGGGATGATGTGTTTCACCTATGTTGACATAGACGTAGCCAAGGGCTGCTAGCCCAGATGACACGAGCTTGTCCGCTGCCAGAAACAAGAACAACACAAGGGTGGGACGTGTCAACTGGTTAAACTTGCTGAAATGATGGCTCGTACTAAGCATTCTTTTCAACTGGAGCTGGATTCTAAGGCTTTCAATCGAAGGATTTGAAGAAATAGCACGGTGAGAGCATTTACCTGCAGCTTTCGCAATGTCTTCGCTAACATTGCACTGGAAGTGGTTCCAGCTGTTCCATCTGCCACATCATGACAAACAGAGATGACATCTTAGTACCAGAAACATCTTAGTTCCATCTGTCCCATGATCCCACACGGACATTGCAGCACCGTTGTACAACAACAGATGTAACAGCCTAGGTAAGCTCAGCTTAACTTTAAAAAGGAGACACTGGACCACATAGGCTACGTTTCAATATTTCGATGGCTCGGCAACAGATGCTATTTCATGAAGTACCACGCGTGTAACCGGTTTCGCGAGCGTGACGAAAAGATTCATGTAACTCGCTATGTTGAACTTGTATGGTTACCCGAGCGGCGGAGTTCGCGAGAACTTTCGATCTCGATGCACGATTCCAGAAAAGTCGAGCTTCTCTTTCTGGCCAAGGCTCAGAACGTTCGGAACGGATGCCTCTTCGCTTATGGCCGAGGCTTGATGGAAGATTATAGCGAGACAGAAGCACATCGATAAGAACGAGGTCACAATCTTTCGGTCTGACATTTGCGCTGACACGAGAAGCCTAAATGCGTGTCGAGGCAAACAGCAAACTCAGAAACTCGCTTTTAAACTCCAGAAAATGACTGAACGGTGGCTTTGATTAGCAATTGAAGCGAATGAGGGAGCTAGGAACCGCTACTCGTCGCATTCAGTCACTAGCCTCTCCCGAGGCGTTCAAGATCCCTCAAACTTCAAGTATGTACAAATTGCTGAGCTTCTCTGGTTTTGAAATCCCAGTGTTGGGCATTCCAGGTAATGTGGCAGCCTCCTAGCTGACGCATACAACAGCAAACCGGCTGTTCGGTCGTCAAGCGTGACTGCTTGCTCAGCTGTCTGTTGTTAAACTTCTCCCCCTGTCTGCATTTTCGCGTGGACTTTCAGGCGACATGGGGGGACTGGAAAGGAAGTCCCTTGGGGAAGACCTCAAGGTGAATGTGAGGGGTGAATGATCCCTTGGTGTTTGACTTCCCTGGGAAAACCGAGCCAGATTTTCAAGGTCAATACGACGCCGTCGATCAGCTGAAATTGACGGATATCCTCAACTGAGAGGACGGAGGCTGTAGGTCGTATTTCAGGAACGCAGATTTGGCACGGGAACAATGTACACAGGATGCCCAGTAGGTACCCACAACTTTTCTCGTCATTTGGGTGATTAGTGAGCAACAAACATCTCGCCTAACTCGCAAACGTTTGCCACAGGCAAAATCGGGACAGTAGTGGGCAGGTGTAACAAGCGTCTCAAAATATCTTACGAACGGACGGATGTCAGCGTGATAAGGCGGATGTTCAACGGCTGCGATCAAAATATGGGCTTGTAACGTGCGTGCAACTGGCTGGTACCAACTGTAATCAGGACGTGGTGAAAGTATACGAGCGATCTCAGCGGCGATCGGTGTGCGGCTCAGTTACCCTATTCACCTTTATGTAATCATTCTACAGTGTTTATTTTGGCCAAAATTAGGGTTCTGTGTGTGAATGAGACTGATCGTTGGTCGCGGGAGATTAGTGATAGGCATCAATCAAGTGAACCGAGCCTACCAGGCCCAATTGATTCGGAAGCGTGCAGTCGCCGAAGTTATCGCAGGGCCAGAAAAGGGAGTCGCCAGGGTTGTCGACATTTCGCAGCATTCCAACCGCGACTCGGGTGACTGTCGCAGGTGGGCCTGGACGACGCTTGTAATTTTAGGCCCGTGTCGCAGGCATGGCAGTGTTCTCGCATGTGGAACATAGAACCACCAATCTCAGGTGCGATCGTTACAACAGAGCGATCGCTATGTTTCGCCGAACGATCAGACACTCGATTGTGAGGCTCGGTATTGCAGACGATCCCGCGATAATTGCACACTTACCGCGTCCTTAGGCGGAATTGGAGAGACCAAATTTGTGTGCACCAGCTGAGCATCCTGTGTACACATCTTCACCGCAGAACCAGAAGCTGTTCTGTCGATTACAGTCGCTGCAATCTGCAGCTGAAACACAAATTCATCCTCCTCGAATCTGTCCCAGACTTAGATGAGGTGTGAAAGCCGTTCTGTGACATAAGCTCCACGTCACCATGAGATAATCCAACCCCGAGATAACAATTTCAGCAATAACTGTCTCGAAAGGAAGGCGTGAACATAATAAGGATACGATACACTCACCACCTACAATGAAATATCTACCACAAATAATTTGAGAAGATGCAGTAACAGCCCAACTTCAGCTGGGTTACGCATCTGCTCTGCCCCATATAACACGAATAAGGCTTATCTTACGGGCCAGATTACAATAATTAGGCATCTGGTCTGGGCCGGAGAACAAAGACACAAGTCGTGGCTCACAACAGCACAAGCACTCAGTTCTCCAGAGACATGCATTCAAGGTGGATTTCTGCACCACAGAAGAAGCAACACGGAGAGCAGAGCAGATACATGAGAAGAAGGATCGTGCTGGTTGTCTGTGAATTAGTAAGTGCCTGCATGTATGTGTGCATGTGTTCACATACACACACATCATTTTGAAGGGGGAAACGAGGGCGGGAAGGGATGAGACTTGTGCGCTAAACAGAGCATGGTTGAGTTTGTGTGTGCGTGTGCATTTTTGTGCGTGTGTGTGTGTGCATGTTCGTGCATGCCTGTGTGCAAGAATGACTATGAAACAAAGGGGAAGTTGGCGAATGAGAGGCTTTGAGAGCGAGGAAGAGTGGGTTGAGGACGGGGTGGGGTGGGGGAGGGTGGGGGGATGATAAAGAGACTGTGAGAGGTACATACACCTCCCAGAGGTCTCAAGCACACATCCACTGCATCACAAAAAACGAAGGAGGTGTGAGAGAGAGCGAGAAGATGAAAATAAATGTCATGCAGCTCAGTCACTCACCTCCCTTAGGTCTCGGGCATGCATCTGCTGCACCAGAATCAGCCCGATTGATTTCCCGCTGACAGTCACATTCTCGTACCTGCAGGTTGGGCAAGGACACACAATTGTTTACTGTAAATTGGAGGCATTTCAAGCGGGTTGTGTAAAGAAAATCAGTGATAGTCAGCTTTGTCAATGAAGTAGCAAAAATGGTACTCTAATGACAGTCATGCTGATGTTTATCAAAGCCATGATGCTTCTCCAGGTGACGCATATTCAGACCAGGGTGACGCATATTCCGACCATGGTGACACATATTCAGACCATGGTGACACACATTCAGACCATGGTGACACATATTCAGACCATGGTGACACATATTCAGACCATGGTGACACATATTCAGACCAGGGTGACACATATTCAGACCATGGTGACACATATTCAGACCAGGGTGACGCATATTCAGACCATGGTGACACACATTCAGACCATGGTGACACATATTCAGACCATGGTGACACACATTCAGACCATGGTGATGCTTATCCAAGCCATGACATGCAAGAGAGGGTTCAATAATCTCACCTCCACTGGGGAGTAATGGGAGAGTTACACCTTCCATGCCAGTGAATCTGCACCAATCACAATGCAACACGAGTCAAGAGTATCCATCACAGTCTGCTCAAACCACCTGCGCCCCCCCCCCGCTTTCCCTCCCTCCTCACCTTCCTCCTCTCCCTCCCCTTCCCTCTCCACCCCCATTCCCCCTCCTCCCACCCCCCCCCTCCCCCCTCCCGATCCTCCCCTGGAAAGCACTTACTCGCACGGGATGGAGCGGTAGAGGCGGCGCACAAGGGCCAGCGAGGCGCAGAAGCCCACAGTGCCGAGCATGAGGAAGAGGCCGTAGCAGACGCACGCCATGCAGACAAAGTAGAAAGACGCCTGCATGAATCCGGTCATGTTGGATTGCGCGTGGTAGTAGTAGCAGCAGTAGCCGAATATGAAGAGCGCGGGGGAGCCACCGCACAGCACCGACCTGAGTGGGTGGGAAAGGGGATGACGGAGGGAATAAGAGATGGAGGGGAAAGAAAATGACACATGCCAGCCAGTTGAGTAAGACACCGACAAGACATCCACCCTAGGATGGAGAGCAGGTGTTAGAGAGCAAGGAGGAAGCAAGATACAGACGAAGCTGTGAAAAAATGGAAAAGGTTGAGGTGACTTTGGAGCCGCAGGGTGTCCTTGAGAAATCTAAAAACTACCACTGGAAATCCGGAAAGGTTGAGAGGTTGGGAGCATTCATACCTCCACCACCACTCGTGGTCCCCCGCTGCAAGCTGATAGTACGTGAGCACAATCGCCATGAGCGCCGTCACAATGATGAAATTGATGAACACTATAAAGAGGACGCCGTAGATCGCGTAGGTCTTATACCACCACCAGTCCGCACAGACATAATACAGCTCAAAGAAAATCGCACTGAACGGCAGAAACCCAGAGATAGCCATCTGAGGGGCTGCATGGCGGTACCAGGGCAGCACCGGAATCGCCCTCGGGTAATTTGAGGTCCGGGAATGCCGGCAGGGTGCTTGGAACTCTGCAGCAGTGCTTTTCTTGCCGGCAATGGCGCAGGCCACGAGGAGGGGTAAGGCAATGAGTGCAAAGATGAGGGTGAGGGTGAGGATGGTGGTGAGGGGCTTGGTGTTGTTGGAGTTGTTGACAGCAGCGACAGTGTTGAGGAAGCAGAATGAGATGACCATCGGCCCGCCGAACATGCACCCTGTCAGCACAATGTTGTGCGCCTGAAATGACGGATGGGAGGGGACGGAAGAGAAGGGGAAGGAAGTGAAGAGGAGGGTAGGAGGGTAGAGGGGGTGGTGAAGGGAGAGTGGGGAACAGAATAAGCGGATAAGATCACTTAGGAGCTTGAAGCGCCTTACAGACAGGACAGGTTTCTCATCTGAGTGAAAACGCATTGCCGGGTTTCTCTTTTATTGCAATGCATTCACACTCACTGCATTGCACTCATTGCAATGCAATGCACCCACTGCATCGCACCCACTGCATTGCACCCACTGCATATGCATTGCACTCACTGCATTGCACTCACCCAGTTGGACCCCTCCATCTGCTTGTAGAAAGACGCAGACGTGTACCCAGCGATTCCAGAGGTTAGCGCATAAATCACCACCAGCGCCGTCCACGAAGCACCATGATTGTAGGGGTATAACACCCCCACAAGAGTGAGAATAAACATGAGAAGGACCCTGACGGAAAGAGAGCAAGCACGGAAATAGACGCGGATATGGGGCTTGATGAGATCAGAAGAGAAGCAGCTTTATGATCCTAATGACGTATGCATTGCGTGCATGCTGTTATCATGCACTGAGTATGAACCGAACCAAACTAAACTAGATTGCACCAATAAGCGAGAGTGTACTACTAATGAACAGGCAACCAAACTCACAGGAAGAGCAATTGAGTGCCGCTGCCAAGAACGGCGCAGAAAAGCTCCTTGTTCTTGGGGAAGCGGAAAACGTCGCCATGGATGGACTTCCACCCAGCCTCCTCCGTCTCTTCTAACGGATCCGCATCATGCGAGTACCTGAATTATTAAAAAAAATAAAAAAGAAAAAAAAACAAGCGGGCGAAATCCTTTATTCGTAAGTTGCCATAAGACATGCTACAGCAACACTGTCTTGGTCATACCGTTCACCACCCTCTTGCAACAACGCCCATACACCACCGAGTCACCGACTATCAACACAGGAATCGACAAAATGGCATCTCTTGATTGTCCTACTGCAGTAAAGTAAGGGATGACGAACACGCGCCAAACGACGGATTCGAAAAAGAATAGTAGATCAGATCATGTCACATACTGGTCGAAATCGTTCTAGAAGCCCAACGAATCTAAAAACCTAGAACGATTAAGAATGTCACATACCTGATTAAGTTGCTCTTGAGGACGTGCGTGAGTCTGGTCGCGATGAAGCCGCCGAGCAGCAGCACCGTGAAACACGAGTTGAGGATGGAGAACCAGTGCACCTCCATATGCTGCGGACGGAACGCGTACCGCGCGTACTTGTCCATGCGCGTCTCAAACGCCTTATCCATCCGCCTCCACGAGACGGAAAACGTGAATTCCACCTCCATCTCCGTATCCTCGCTACTGTCCATCTCCACCGTGCTAAGCGGATCGGTCAGCACGTCGATTTCCACCACGCGGTCGCTGTTATACGCTACGTCGAAATCTATGTGCGTGTAAATGGAGATGTGCTGGTTCGTGTCATACGTGTCACTCTCAACCTTGTACGTGTCACTCTCAACCTTGTACGTGTCACTCTCAACCTTGTACGTGTCACTCTCAACCTTGTACGTGTCACTCTCAACCTTGTACGTGTCACTCTCAACCTTGTACGTGTCACTCTCAACCTTGTACGTGTCACTTTCAACCTTGTACGTGTCACTCTCAACCTTGTACGTGTCACTCTCAACCTTGTATGTGCCACTCTCAACCTTCCCGATGAAACCCCAGATCGGGATTTCGTCCAAGTACATTTGGAAATAGTAGTCGTTCAGGACCGCGTTGCGGAACTTCTGGACGTCCTTAACGCCGAGCGTGCGCTTGCAGAGCGTCGTTCGCTCGTGATCTACGCGGAATTTTAGGTCGTAAGGGGCCTGCACCATGTGATCGCCGTTCAGCACTTCGCCGAGGGATTGATGCTTCTCGTCAAGCTTTCCTGAACACACACACACGAAGCGGATTGACTTGCGTGAAACGACGACGCTGGGTTGAAAGGTCGCGAATCATGGGAGTGAAACATCTAAGTTGGAAAGAGAGGGCTTGTAGCAGGTTCGTACAACGTAAAGAAACGCAAGCATAGGCTGAGCAGCTTTTAGCGAGAGAAAGACACAAAGAAAGCGAATCTTGCAGAATTCTAAGACTGAGCAACTTGCTGTTGAACGAACCTGGCTGGCAAAACGGCAGATCGAAGAACTTGTACGTTTCACTGCGGAAAACGAGTTTGGAGCCAAACCGGTGAACACGGAAGGCGCATACGTTAGCTTCACAAGTGAAAAATAACAGAATATAAAAGAAGCACGGAACATTCTGAAATGAAGAGTAGCAAATAAATTACTTCTTCGAGCGTCCACCCAGCGTCAGTCGCCACTAGACACAGAATACTTGGAGTCAAATCATCAACACAGAATCTCACCTAGGGTTGCTGAAGGGACCGACTTTGTTCACGTAGAGAGGCACGCTGTCCCCTTGGCCATATCTATGGTCGCTTGCACTGGCATCCGCGGCAATGACGGCAGCCAGGAGGACAGCGGCAAGCACCCTACAATGAAAACTTAACGTCCGAACCATGATTGACGAGATCTGACGGCCGTTCAGCCAAGGTCAGAACTATAGACTAGAAAGCCGAAGTTCCTATAACGGCTACGCAAGAAACGACACCCCTCCGGGCACGGATCCCAAAATTTAGCAGGCCTCGCCGGTACGATGTCCTACAAAACAAAAAAAATCCTGCGAGCAAGCAGAAAGTCAAGCAATTGGTCAACGCCGACGGAGACTGTGCAAGTATGGCGCCTTGCTAAGGCTCTAGAATTCTACTCTCAAGTTTCGTTTTCTGAAGCTGGGTGGGTTACCCTTGCAGTATGAGATTTACGATTTTATGATCACATCCCTCCATTCCTCCATCCGCTGATGCAAACTGCTACCTATCTGTCATCAGCCACTCGGAGGAAAGGCGATGATCCCAAGGGCGACGGAAGCGAAGGTGCAGCGACATCCCCCAGGCGATGGTAACGCTGGTGGTAGGCACGAAGGTGGAGAGAGGGTTCCTGGAATCCTTCCTGCACCTCGTCTCGGACCGTCAACAATCGTTGACCGATTCTGCTGATTGTCGCGTGACTGACCGACAGTCTGTCTGGTCTGGTCGTCAATTCTGGAGTTTGACAGCTGTTCTGCATTCTTGGGGTTGAGGGAGAGTGTGCCACACGTTTGTCTGATGATCGTCCAATCGGTTGAGTACGATGTCGTGCAATCATACACACGGACAGCAGGTGACCAGAGAGGACTTTTCGCTCATAATAAACGGTTGAGTACGATGTCGTGCAATCTGGAGCGGTTCCCCCCTTCACCACTATCACTACTCACCAGCCTCAACTCCAGAAAGTGGATAGTGAGTGATGTTGAAATAAATTTAAAAAAACACTTATAGGTGTAGCAAACTATCCTTATGCTAAAGATCTGGTGAGTACCAGCACACTCTGAAAAAGAGGTTCCCTAAGTACTAGAGGCGAAAAAATAAAGCAGTCTTTTCTATCTGCAAACCCTATAATGTAATATCCAAAATATACATGAAAGAATGGAAGACAACAGCGTGTCTTCAAAATTTGACTTGCTGCATCACCACCAGTATTGTGAAATGATTGGATTTAGTTAGGGCATGTTCCTACGGCCCCTTATCAGGCCAACCTCTTATCAAGCTCGCTACTTTTACCACTGAAATTTTCCTAAACCCAAAAACCCTCGCTACTTTTACCAGGCAAGGCTGACAAGAGGTTTGCCTGATACGAGCGTAGGAACATGCCCTTAGCCTAGGCATCTGATACGGGTGAGATAGCAAGCTTTAGACATCTGGTGTGGGCGAGAGAACAAACAGCCTCACGCCATGGCTCTCAACTCGAGAACTCAGCCCTCCAGAGACGGCAGAATCCAAGGTGGATTTCTGCAGCACAGAAGAAGCAGCATGGGTGGAGACACATAACAGAGATCGTGCTGGTTGTGTGAAAACGAGCAAGCCTCTGCATGAGTGTGTGCTTCAGGTATGTGTTTACACACATGTCATTGGGAAGGGGAGGAGGATGGGTGGCGAGGCGAGGAAGAGGTTTCAAAGGGGGTAAGGAGTTTCAAAAATTGTGAGTGGAAGAGGCTCAGGTTGTGTGTATATGTGTGTGTGTGTGTGTGTGTGTGTGTGTGTGCGAACGTGCATGAGTGCATGTGTGCATGTGCGTGTGCATGTGCGCCTTGCAAATGCACGTATGTGTGTGTGTGCACACACATACGACTTTGAAATGAGTGGGAGGTTGGCGGATGAGAGGCTGGGAGAGCGAGGATGGAGGGAAGAGGGGGGTGGGGACAGGGGAGCTGGATGATAGAGGGAATTTGAGAGGCATGCACCGACCTCCCAGAGGTTGGGAAGTGTATTTTGAAAGAGACTTTGTGTACTTACGAGAAGAAGTGAAGAAGGGGTAGGAGAGAGTGAAAATGAGAGGAAACAGCTGCTGATTCTCAGTTACTCACATCCCAGAGGTCTCGAGCATACGTCTGCTGCACCGGATTTTCGAGTCAACTAAGAAACAGATTTGCTACAAAGGTCTTGAAGTCACTCACCTCCCAGAGGTCTTGCGCATACATCTGCTGCACCGGATTCAGCCCTATTGATTTCCAGCTGACGGTAACATTCTCGCTCCTCTCACCACGATTCACCAATGCCACTACTTGCCGACCCTCAAAGAGAGGCCCGGACCAGACCTACAGGTGGAGGAAGGACACGAGTATCAAGTGTAAGTTGGAAGCATCTGACTTGAGTTATAAAACAAAATTGATTGAAAGTCTACTTTGTCAGCAAACTAACAGGCACACCACCGTGGTGGGGAGAGGGTGACTTTCGTACTTATCCAAGCCATGGTGACGCTTATCCAAGTCTTGGCTCGCAAGAGGGTGTTTAATGATCTCACCTCCACCAGGGAGTCAATGGAGAATTGTACCTTCCGTGCCTGTACTCCCAGTGGATCTGCATCACACCAATCACAGCGCAACACGTGTCAGAGGAATGGCGAGTGCATGTACCATAGTCTGCTCAAACCACATCTGCACCTCTTGTGCAAGTAGGGTTGTTCACCTCTGCAAATCCCTTGCTTGGGTGCCCCTTTTGCTTGAACACACGCACATATACAGGCAACGTTTTGAGACGCTTGGCACAGGCAGCTTGTCGATACCGAGCTATTCAGCAGCATGAGCACTTGCTGCTATTGTGTAGCTCTATGTTACCCTGGTTCACAGCAATGAGCTCTGAAGCTCCCCAAAACAGGCAACGTTTTAACATAGCGCGACACATCAGGATGAGCAGAGCATGCACCCTGGTTTACTGCAATCACTTGGTCGCTGCTCAGAATGCTCATGGTCTCGTCCGAGGGATCAAAGCTCTCTCAGCCGTGTTCTTAACACACTGTAAACACACCTCCTCGGATCAGAACACACGCTTAGAGTCGACTCAGAGCGCTTACCCTGGTTGACGGCAATCACTTCTTTGTTGCTCAGAATGCTCATGGTGTCATTCGAGGCAGCAGAGAGATCGCAGCCAATCAGGAGGGGTGCCTGGTGGGAGGACGTAAGCGGAAGGCGTAGCCAATGAGGAGAGGCGCCTGGTGGCAGATAGGCGGGTGGGTGGGAGCCTGTGAGTGGAGCCTGTGAGTGGAGCCTGTGAGTGGAGCCTGTGAGTGGAGCCTGTGAGTGGAGCCTGTGAGTGGAGCCTGTGAGTGGAGCCTGGGAGTGGAGCCTGTGAGTGGAGCCTGTGAGTGGAGCCTGTGAGTGGAGCCTGTGAGTGGAGCCTGTGAGTGGAGCCTGTGAGTGGAGCCTGTGAGTGGAGCCTGTGAGTGGAGCCTGTGAGTGGAGCCTGTGAGTGGAGCCTGTGAGTGGAGCCTGTGAGTGGAGCCTGTGAGTGGAGCCTGTGAGTGGAGCCTGTGAGTGGAGCCTGTGAGTGGAGCCTGTGAGTGGAGCCTGTGAGTGGAGCCTGTGAGTGGAGCCTGTGAGTGGAGCCTGTGAGTGGAGCCTGTGAGTGGAGCCTGTGAGTGGAGCCTGTGAGTGGAGCCTGTGAGTGGAGCCTAGAAAAGGTTCACCTTCATGAGCACAACCACAAGCATTCATGTAGGTACACCTGAAAAGACGTATCCGCAAGCAACTCTGTGAAGGCCCTGCCTTACCTTCATGATGGCCCAGAACTGAGATCATGTTTTCACGTTGCAGTGTTTGTGTAGGGAGATTAGTTGGAGCCAAGGACCTGGAAAAAGCAACGTGCATCATCACCTTCACGATGGCCTCGCCTCACCTCCATGATCGCCCGCGTCACCTTCATGATCGCCCATCGTACCTTCATGATGGCCCATCGTACCTTCATGATGGCCCATCGCACCTTCATGATGGCCCAGAGGCTGAAGTGCACACGATACTCTGAATCCCTCATGCCGCCATTCCCCACCTGCAGCATGTCCGGGTCTGTCAAGGGTGGTGGGTGGGGGACGAAGAGCAACGGCAGAGTTGGGAGGAAACGGGGGAGGTATGTTAGAGGGGAAGTCAGTTCCCCACCTGCAGCATGTCCAGGTCTGATGGGGGAGAGGGGGGTCGGGGAGGGAGAGCAAAGGCAGGGTCATGATACGGGTTGGGGATAGGGGGAATGAGGGAGTGTCCATTCCCCACCTGCAGCATGTCCGGGTCTGAAGGTTGGGGGGGTTGGGGGGATGTTGGAGAGGAAGGGTGGGAGGCAACAACACTGGCTGATGCATGAGTGAGACAAGAATCACTTTTCACCCTGTGAGATGGATTCATCTTTCAACAGCAGAAGGAGGGAGGGACAGCAAAAGCGGCCACTTCTGAGAATTCTCAAAAGCGGTGCAAGCATGGCAGAAAAAGCGGCAGACTATAGGAGCTTGATGCGGCTTCGATTCAACCAAGTTGAAGAGAATCGCCGCCCATTCCAACGTGAATTTGATTAAATCAAGGTGAATATAGCCTCCTCCTGTGCTGGGCATATTCAACTGTCCCACTGGTACGCACCGTTCCACCCGCCTGGCTTGGCGTATTTGGCCCACTTGTTGTTGATGTCTGCAATGCGCATCATGCTGCATGTGATACGTGCCACACGGGCACATGTATGCACAAAGACAGGAAGGTAAGGCACCGTTACTGATGGCACATGCACTTGTTGTTGATGTCTGCAAAGCGCATCATGCTGCAAGAGGGCCACATGCCAAATGCCACATGCCACGTGCCACATGGCACATGCATGCACAAAAGAAGGGAGGCGAGGTATCGTTACTGATGGCACACCCACTTGTTGTTCGTGTCTGCAATGCGAATCATGCTGCATGTGATACGTGCCACACGCCACAAGCATGCACACAGGCAGGGAGGCAAGATGGTACCAGTAAGTTCTGAGGTGTGTCTTGAAACAGGTCCTTTCGACTCATCTCTCCCTTGGCTACCAATCTCCCCAATCTCTACCATGAATTCGTTCTCACCCTTCTCCCTCTCCAATTACCTCCCCCCTGTTTACTCCTACTTCACACTCCCCCCACCTCTCCTTCCTTCCCTTCTCATCCCTCTCTTCCACTCCGTTGACCATCTCCACCCCTCACCCTTTCCTCTCCTCTCCCCTCCACGTGACCCTCCTCAGCTGCTCCACATGTCCTCACCTGCTCCACATGTCCTCACCTGCTCCAGATGTCCTCACCTCCTCCACATGTCCTCACCTCCTCTCCTCCACGTGTCCTCACCTGCTCCACATGTCCTCACCTGCTCCACATGTCCTCACCTGCTCCACATGTCCTCACCTGCTCTACATGTCCTCACCTCCTCCACATGTCCTCACCTCCTCTCCTCCACGTGTCCTCACCTGCTCCACATGTCCTCACTTGCTCCACATGTCCTCACCTGCTCCACATGTCCTCACCTGCTCCACATGTCCTCACCTGCTCCACATGTCCTCACCTGCTCTACATGTCCTCACCTCCTCCACATGTCCTCACCTCCTCTCCTCCACGTGTCCTCACCTCCTCCACATGTCCTCACCTCCTCTCCTCCACGTGTCCTCACCTCCTCCACATGTCCTCACCTCCTCCACTCCACGTTACCTCACCTGCTCCACGTGTCCTCGATGTCACGGGTGGTGCGCCACGTGTCTGCCACGCCATACGCCCACAGAGCAGGGAGATCCTGTCCCCTGCAGACAGCAATAACGGAGATGATGGAGTGACTGAAACTAGAATTGTTTTGAGACGTCTCAAAACGTGTCTGCCACGCCATGTGCCCACAGAGCAGGGAGATCCTGCCCCCTGTAGACAGCAATAATCGAGGCAATGGAGCAACTGACGGGCTTGGCTTTAGAGTCCACACGCAGCAATTTGCAAGCCGTCGCACATGGCGCATCCCCAAATGGAATCCTCTAACCATTCGCAAATGGAGAAGAAAATGTCCCTTGCAGAACACCACTGGGGAGGGATATTTTCTTCTCCATGTGCGAATGGTGAGCTCATATTGGGTGCATGCTGAGTTCTTGGGACATTTGCAAGCGGTCGCACATGGTGCATCCCCAGATGAAAATGTCCCTCCCAGCAATAACCTCATTCAGCATGCATCCATGTGAGCTCACCATTCGCACATCGAGAAGAAAATGTCCCTCCCAGTGGCCTCTAACGCATTGCGCATGGTCGTATAGCTGATGGCAGCGGGGGGTATGGGAGAGATGGGAGGGAGGGATGGAGGGCATTGGTTGAGGCATGGGGGGTATGGAGGGATGACAGGGATGGGATGGGTGGCATGGATACAAATCATTCACTCAAAGACGTTTCCAAAGTCAACGGATTAGTCTTAAAGGGTGGACTAAATGAGAGTAGTGGCACACAAGCATGACTGCAGGGAGCACATACGTACCGCTTCTTGCTGGGACTTCCATCATTGTAACAGTTGTCGTACTTGAGATAATCCACTCCCTGTCACATGCACATGCGACAAGCAAGGAAGACGGATTTTGGGTCGACTCAGAGGTCATTGTAACAGTTGCCGTACTTGAGATAATCCGCTCCCTGTCACATGCACATGCCACAGACACGGGATCAACCGCCGCAAGAATGTGCCACAGTTGCTAGTGCGTGCGTGAGGGCATGTGCGCACGCAGCAGAGAGCAGGTTCGCACGTGTGCATCATGACTCACTCACTCACCCATTCAGCAAAGGTGGCAGCATCCACTGCTTCATGCCACAGTGAGCCCGGCTTGAGTGCGCACGTGCGAATGCTGGTGCGGGGGTGGAGGTACCATACAACCCCGACAGGTACATACATACATACATTCATAAGCATGGAGAATTTGACATATCTACCTGGTTCCAGGAATTTTCTAAATGCACACTCTCAGACAAAAGGACCAGCTCAGAAAATATGCACACTCTCTCCTCTCCTCCATCTTCTTCCCCACTTGCTGTTGCATAGCATTCCCAACCAGCTAGATGCATCATGCTCTCACCCAGTATCGGAGTATATGCCCAGCCTGAGCCCCTTGCTGTGCACATAGTCTGCAGCACCACTCCCAACCCCCTCACTTCGTTCCCCAACCCCTCTCCATTGTAGCCCCTTCAGACCATATCGACGCACTGACTCACCCAGCGTCGGAGTAGATGCCCAGCTTGAGCCCCTTGCTGTGCACATAATCTGCTAGCGCCTTGATGCCCGAAGGGAATGCGTCCGGGGATGGTGCCAGGCGGCCCTGAACACAGTGGACAAAAAGACAACAAGGGATGGTTGTTGCGATGGAATGCATGGGGCTTTTGAGACGTCATACATTTGAACGAATGGCCCAGGGGACCCTGAACACACAGCGGACTGCGCGGAAATGCGAGCCATCCTTGAGGAAATGCAAACTGGGTTTGAGACGTCTCAAGACTGGGGATGGCGCCAGGCGGCCCGAACAGTGCACTCTGTTCCTCTGAACAGTGCACTCTGTTCCTCTGAACAGTGCACACTGTTCCTCTGAACAGTGCACTCTGTTCCTCTGAACAGTGTACTCTGTTCCTCTGAAAGTGCACTCTGTTCCTCTGAACAGTGCCCTTCCTCTCTCTGAACACACAGTGGACGGACAGTGCAGAGAGAGGAAATGGATGGGGGTTTTAATGCATGGGACACATTGGACTCGGATGCATGGGATGGGAGGATAATTTACCCACCTCAGAGTCTCGAGAGTCTGCTTGCCAGCAATCATCTGTGAAAAAGAGAGGGGTCAAGTCACGATGTTAGCAGGATGCAAGTGACACAAGGCAGAGGTCAGGCAACTACATGCCAAATCAACCCAATGAGCAAAAGTATGCAACAAGGCGACATGATTATGCTGGCAATGCGTTCAGGCAAGCCCCAATCTCAACATAGCCCTGTCTGCAGGTGGTTGCCTTTTTACTCCTGTTTTAACATGCCTGGAACTACGACGAAGATTGATTCAATCACAATATTCATCATATCCACTTATTGCTATCTACATGCGCAAGCAAGCAAGCACTGCAAGTATTTAATGAAGTTTCATCTCACCGATGTTGACATAGATGTAGCCAAGGGCTGCGAGTCCTGAGGATACGAGCATGTCCGCTGTGACAGAGAGCATGTTGGCATCACGAGGTTGCCAGCACACAGCAGCACCCATCAACACACAGCAGAAGACAGCAAGATAGCAGGAATGATCAGCCGTGAAAGCAACAGCGGGCCTTATGCCTCTAAGGTGACAATGCTGTGCAATGCAATCTCTGTGGCTCTCCGTTTCATGCACTGTCATAACTGGCACTGAAACGGTAACAGTTGCAGAAACAGCACGCATATCTGCGTAGAATAACATAAGGGACACTGGGAAACAACAATGACTGCATACTGGTACCGTACTGTACTGCTAATCCCAACAACGTTGATCCTGACTCAGAGACTCATGTCAAGAAGAAGGGCAAGATACACACCCAAGTCACACGATGATACGGCATGAGAAGAAGGGCCTATCGTTTGCAGAACTACCTTGGGTTTTCACGATCTCTTCAGTGACATTGCATCCGAAATGGTTCCAGCTGTTCCACCTGCCACGAATGCCACGTCACAAGGTACGTCAGACGCGGCACGTCACGGAATTAGGTAAAGCATGTTACATGCACGGCGATGCGACACGAGCGTTTGTCATAATCGGTTTCGCCAGCGGTGTTACCCGAGAGGCGGGGTTCGCGCAATGGTTCGCGACCCAACATTACGGGCTCGAAGAGCCGTGCCGGTTTCGGCGGGGATTTCGCATTTGCTTTCGCTCCCTGGGTTCAGAGTAGGCGACGCTTCAACGACGGCAATCGCGAAATATAAACACACAGCGACTAATGCCACAAGTGGTGGCGACAACGAGCATTCTTTTCTGTAAGACATAGCGCTGTGCCAGTAGCATCAGCCGTGTAATTCGTTTGGAGTCGGAGTCGAAACGATGGAAGTAGGATCGAGATTTTTTTTTTTAAGGATAAACATGATGATCGTGGAACGCGACATTGCAGTGCGAGGACTGGGATGGAACGACGACTACGTCCCGCAGTGAGCCAGTCGCGATCACCACGCTTTGACAGCGACCGACCCGTCATTTCGATTCGGAAGAACAACGTAAAGAATGTGGATTCCATGTCGCAATCAGTCGCAACGAGCCTCGATGCGTCGCAAAGAGTCGGTCGCTATCAATGTGTGGTGGTAGAGCAAGCTCCGACAGAATCGAGGTCGAGCTTGCTGTGTGCGTATCGGATTCCTATGCTCAAGCATCGTTGACATTCCTGCTACTTCCAAACGGACTCTTCTACTAAGTTGGGTCTGATGACTGGTGACCTACGACTGGTGACTGATGACTGATGACTGGGTGACAGGAGTAGTTTGACTGCCAGTTTGGCGAACCAATGCTCGTTCAGTGCGGTGCAGTGCGTTTGAACGCGTTAAGAAGCAGTTCTACTCATTGAGAAATGCTGGGGAGGCTATTTCCTCGAATTCGGGATGCAAGGTTGTCTGGAACGCTGGGGAGGCTACCCCCTGACGGGGCCAGACGCGGTTCAGTGGGGTCTAAGCTGCTATAGTAGTGATGCAGTGCGATGGCGACTCATTCCTGGTAGCTTTTGCGGAGTTTTCGAGGTGCTGGGTGTAGCAATCTCTGGTTTGTGAAATGCGCTTACTGAAGCTGTTGGAGGATGGAACAAACGCATTCATCACGAAACAGACAGCTATCGTACCGAGAAGCATTTTATCGCGTACAATCGCCAACTTGAGTTCGCTTGACATCACGGTGCCTTCACAATTTAGCAACAAAATTCATACTTGAATTCCGACAGGATAGAATTATTTTTTTGAGGCCGCGGAACCAGGCAGCCATGGCTTCCGTTCCGCACTCGCTTCTCCATTCCTCCTTCACCACCCGCGACTATCACTCACCTCGCCTACTTCCCACGTACTCGAAGTCCGCGTTTTCCGGGGAATCAATAGATACTTTTCGCCAGCAACGGGGGGTTCATCTGATCCCAGCCGTAGGATCGAATTTTCATCAGCAGATCGAACGGCGAGCCGGGATCCGCGCGATCGGAGAGCCGCCAGGAATGGGCGCATTCCCGCGCCCGCAGCAAGGCGGAAACGTTCTCAAGGTGCCCTTAAACGGAATATTCCTCGCGAAATCTCCTTAGCCTTCGCGGTGACCAACGGTAACGTGCTGCCACGTGCCCTCCGCCGGCAATGCGGCAGTAAAGTGATGACACGTGCCCTCCTGTGGCCTCACAGGTGAGGCGCTGAGCAAATCAACCCGCCGCATTGCCGCGCGCGCAGCAACGCGGTAACGTGGTCAGTCTGCCCAATTCATATTGCCTTAACTCATGAACAATCCGGTCCTGGCAACGGTGAATCTGCGCCCTTCCATTCCCGTCCCGTCCCGTCCCGTCCCGTCCCGTCCCGTCCCTTCCCTTCCCCCATTCAGCTGGTGCTGGCGACCCTGTGGCCTCGCCTCTCGGCGCCACCATCCTCTCGACCCTCTCCTCTGCCCGCGGGCTGCAACTGGCTGCTCCATGAATAAGCACTTTTCTTCCCTCCTCCCCTTATCTGTCCCTTATCTCCCCCCCCCCAGCTAGTGGTGAGCGGTCCTGTGGCGTCCCCTCTCGGCGCCACCATCCTCTCGACCCTCTCCTCTGCCCGCGAGCTGCAACTGGCAGCTGCAAACTCATATAAGACAAGTGTGCCCCCTTATTCCTTCCCTCCCCACAGCTGGTGGTGAGCGGTCCTGTAGCCTCGCCTCTCGGCGCCACCATTCTCTCTACGCTCTCCTCTGCTCGCGGGCTGCAACTAGCTGCTGTGGTGGACGGCAATCCTGAGGCCAACGGGCGAGACGCGGGGGAGGTGAGACGGGAAAGGGGAGAGGAGTGGATAGGTGCGAGAAAGATGGAAGGTGCTAGTCTTGGGGGCTGCATCTAGCTGCTGTGGTGGACGGCAATCCGGAGGCCAACGGGCGAGACGCGGGGGAGGTCAGAAGGGTTTGGGTAGAGGGTAGCGGGGAGAGGGGAGAGGGGAGGGATAGGGTAGGGTTGAGAGAGGAGGATTGAGGGATGAGGGGGAGACAGAGGCCTTTGGTTGTCCCTCGCAGGTTGCAACTAGCTGCTGTGGTGCACGGCAATCCCGAGGCCAACGGGCGAGACGCGGGGGAGGTGAGAGAAGCAGGGATGGGAGGAGGGAGAGGAATTGAGGATAAGAGGGAGAGCAAGCTGCGTGCTCTCGTTCTCCCTCCGCCTGCACAGCATTGAAAAACGAGAGAACGAGACAGGCGTGCATGGGCGCCTCCTTCTCACCATCATTCTCTCCATCCGTCCCCCTTGCCTCTGTTGCCTCACTCCCCACTGCAAGTCCACCCCTCTGCTCTCCCCCACTCCCTCTCCCCATTTTTCCTCCTTGTCCCCCATCTCGCACTACTCCTGTCTCTGTTGTCGCAGGTGGCGGGTCTACCTGAGCCTCTCGAGCTGCCAGTGGTGGCTGACGTCATCATGGTCCTGGCCTCCGTTGCTCAGGTGCTCTTTGTGTTGCTCAGGTGCTCTTTGTGTAGCTCAGGTGCTCTTTGTGTTGCTCAGGTGCGCTCTCTGTTGCTCACTCTTCCTCTACTCACTCTCTCCCCAGTCGCGGTCTACAGGCGTATACGTGGATTTCTCTGGGGATGCGTCTGCTGCATGCGAGAACGTGCGACAGGTGAGGGTGAGATGGAGGGAGGTGGTGGGAGTATGTGAGTGCGTGCGTTGACGTGTGCGTTGACGTGTGCGTTGACGTGTGCGTTGACGTGTGCGTTGACGTGTGCGTTGACGTGTGCGTTGACGTGTGCGTTGACGTGTGCGTTGACGTGTGCGTTGACGTGTGCGTTGACGTGTGCGTTGACGTGTGCGTTGACGTGTGCGTTGACGTGTGCGTTGACGTGTGCGTTGACGTGTGCGTTGACGTGTGCGTTGACGTGTGCGTTGACGTGTGCGTTGACGTGTGCGTTGACGTGTGCGTTGACGTGTGCGTTGACGTGTGCGTTGACGTGTGCGTTGACGTGTGCGTTGACGTGTGCGTTGACGTGTGCGTTGACGTGTGCGTTGACGTGTGCGTTGACGTGTGCGTTGACGTGTGCGTTGACGTGTGCGTTGACGTGTGCGTTGACGTGTGCGTTGACGTGTGCGTTGACGTGTGCGTTGACGTGTGCGTTGACGTGTGCGTTGACGTGTGCGTTGACGTGTGCGTTGACGTGTGCGTTGACGTGTGCGTTGACGTGTGCGTTGACGTGTGCGTTGACGTGTGCGTTGACGTGTGCGTTGACGTGTGCGTTGACGTGTGCGTTGACGTGTGCGTTGACGTGTGCGTTGACGTGTGCGTTGACGTGTGCGTTGACGTGTGCGTTGACGTGTGCGTTGACGTGTGCGTTGACGTGTGCGTTGACGTGTGCGTTGACGTGTGCGTTGACGTGTGCGTTGACGTGTGCGTTGACGTGTGCGTTGACGTGTGCGTTGACGTGTGCGTTGACGTGTGCGTTGACGTGTGCGTTGACGTGTGCGTTGACGTGTGCGTGTGTGCAAATGCGCGCGCGTTTGCATAGTCTTGTGCATGTGTGTGTTTGTGTAGGTGGGTGGTTTGGCGTCCATGTGGATATCACTGGGGGTGTGAGAACGTGGGAAAGGTGAGGTGAGATGGAGAGAGGAAGTGTGAGTCCGTGAATGCTTTGACGGGGTTTTGTGCATGCTTGCATGCACGTGTGTGTGTGTGTAAGTGGGATGTTGTGTATGTGGATTTCCCTGTTAAAGCCTTTGCTATGTGGATTCCCCCTTGCAAAAGAAAGGTCTCAGTAGTGTGGTGGTGGGAGCGAAGCGAGCATAACAGCGAATGACGTCATGCATGCAGCCACCCTTTTCTCCCCTCCCCCTCCCCTCCCCTCCCTCCTATCCCTCCCCCTCTCCTCTTTCCCACCACTACCAAATGGCCACAGGCAACAGCATTCGGTCTCAGCAGTGTGGTGGTGGGGGCGCACATACCAGAGGATGAGCTCTAATACCCACTGTTCTTCTGCCCTCTTCCCTTCCTGCCTTCCTC